GAAAAAACTGAGGTGAAAGTTCCCTATAATGAATAACACAATGGTAGTAATGGTTGCAGTTGAAGCAGGAAAACAGACAATATCAGTGTAGAAAATGAACGGCTGATGGGAACACAGCTATAAACTTCAAAAGACAGAAAAATCAACCACACAAGTTGATTTAGATTGAAGAAGAGAAGGGAGGAAAAAAGAGATCTAAGGAGAAAAATTCAGACTTGGAAAATACATACCAATTTAAGAGAGTACATTAGTACCGTAACTATGCTGTCTGTCTGCTGCAGAATTTCTTTTTCACTGGTGCAGTATCCCAAACTATCTTCCACTATATTGCAATAATAAATGCCAGCAGAATTTAAAAATAAAGCAAGATGATCACATTAGCATCAACGTATCAATCACATAACGTAGCCAAAGAGAAAGGGGGTAGTGTCAAAGCCCCTAATCTCATTTTCATACAAGCACTCAGCAGCACCCAGCTCAGCACAAAGAAGAGTTCACACTAAAGGTCACAGCAGTCACGTCCAAACTACAAATCACATTTCTATGAATTAACTGCAGCTATAACTACAAGTATTCAGGATTTCCTCTCTGAATTTTGTCTCTTCATTACCCCAGAAAAACAAGTAGCTACCTTAAGCATCATCAGCTTATACGCACAGTCTATCTTTTCCTAGACATTATTGGAAAGAAAAAATGGTTTTGTCAAAGGGGTTCCCTCAGCCTACAACCCCTGAGGAGAAAAAAGTCTAGAGAGAGAGGGAGGAGTTTCTGGATCTTTGCATTTTTACTGATACACTGATCAAAAGTTCATGCTAAAAATCACCCTCTACCTCTTCTGCTTCTGCCCTCAGCCTCTGCAAGTAGGAGATCTTATGTTGTGTGTGTTCAGGGAGAGGGAGCTGCATGCTGTATAATAATGCATTTCACTGTGCAAGTGTGCAGGAAAATAAGGAGATGAATGCCCTGTTCAGGGTTTGCATTACTATGTACCATGGAGATGGCTCCTGAGCCCTGCTGCATCAGAGCTGCCTAGGGATGGAAGGGCTGCCAGGCTGAGGGAACAGCATGTTGCCTCTGAGAGGGGCCCTTAAAAAGTTTTAGTGGTCTTCTAGGGCTTGACTAATGCCTTCTCTTCCCTTGGCTTCATAAAGATTCCTCGAGCATATCTGAGATTTGACCCTGAATATATGATGCTATTCTTGCTGTGTAATAAGCATCGGTGGTCTCAGGCATATAGAGGCAAATCTGGTCTTTGTTAAGAGAGTTACATGTCAAAATGAGTTTGTAAAACACACTACAAAAAGTATGAAATGCTGCTTACAATGCAAAGCCCACTGAAATCTACATATTGCTGCAATATTTATTATCAGCCAGAGCATATTATCTGAGATTAATAAACTATTCTTAGTCCATATTATGGCAAGGCATAGCAACTGCCATAAAGCAGCACTGTCACATAAAGAAATTTCACCAAAGTACCCTGCTTGAAATAACGACTTTGTTTATCTATAACTTTACATTATTGATCGGGTTTGCTGAACTGAAGGAGGACTATGAAGTCATTCCAAAAGAACTACTGAGAAGTCTGGAAGCTCAGCCAATATAAAGCTACCAGCAACAAGGCAATTTCCCTGGCAAAAAATAGTCATACTTGGTTATTTTACAAACATGCAAGCAAATTACATTCTGTTTGCTTAAATATGAACTAATGACAAACATGTGGCTCTTAGTGTCTAGTTGTCACAATTTTTACTGGTAAGAATTTTTTTCTTGCAAGACTATAGTGGACCTGAAATAGAGCAGCAACATAGGCGGATGCCTTCCAGTTTTAGAGGACTTGAAAAGCAAAGTTTTCATATAGACATTCCAAACTATCCTGTGACCCAGCCACATAAGGATAATTTCCAAGACAACAAGCTTAAAAATGGCTGTATTAAAACAATAGTTCCTTCCCAAACACTGACTAGCTGATTTCCTTCAGCTTGCAGTTAAAACCTTGGCATTGCTAACCCCACCTGGTAGACTGAGATCCAAGAGAAGATGCTGGAGCATTCAGTATCATCCTGTCACTCCCAGCTTCTGGCACACTAACTCCCCAGTCAGGCAGTACCATACCCTCACCTCACACCAGAGATCTGCAGTGCTGACACACGTGTCCCAGGCAGCTGTCTGCACCGCCTGCAGTCAATGGAGAGGAACGGATGCTCATGGGCTTGAGTCTCTCTCCCTCCCTAAATTAGACAGCTAGAATAGGTCAAAAGAATTACCGCCTGGACTTGCCAACTGCTATCCAGTCCGTATGCAGGGAGGTGAGATAAATAGCTCAGATGCAGATACCTACATTGCAGATGTCTAACTAGGCAAGACAAATCCTGTACCTCGCAGACAGTACACAGGGAAAGTCAGAAGCCTCATCAAGGCAATCCCCCACAGCCCCACACATTGCGTGAAGGGCTGCACAGAACTGACCCAAAGCAAATACCCACCACAGGGTATTTGAAATCCCTTTGCTCCTGGAGAATAGGTGGCAATAGGCAAATATATATACATGCATGTATATATTTATGATCCTTATGCAGGATAATTTAAAACATGTCTGAGAACCAACCAGGAAAAGGTCAACTGTTGTCTTGTAGCTCTCAACAGCATCCACAAATGAGGCTTGGTATTTTGCTTAACAAAGACAGGATTGCACAACAGCAACCCTGTACTGAAGGAAAGGACGCTGCCATCCCTTTGGAGGTGCCATGCTGTACTTCCCAGCCAGTATACGCAAAAAGCTATTTTTTGTTGTTGACTCTATAAGTATTCACAAGAAAGAGCTTACAAGCTCACTTAAGAAAGAACAGCCTTCTAGACTCAGAGGTCCAGCCTGCCTCACTTAGGCACTTACCTTAGACCTACGCTTTACTGCCTACTGAAGCAGTCTTCCTATGCATGGCCTGCTCTGCCCGGTTATTCAGCAGAACAGTAGGTGCCTTTCCACATCCTCAGAGGAAATTCCTGTCTGCTAAGTTTAGATGCTGAAATTGAGGACACAGGATCTCCCTTTGGAAGACTTCAAAGGCACTTTTCTCTCTGTAACAAGGGTATGTAGAATGTGGGCTTTTATTTTCTGTGGGTTGCTTTGTTGAACGTTTAATATTAAGGTACATGTTAGATGTCTAAACTCAGAATAGCGCCTGCCTGTAAGGCACCATATTATAGACCAAGAAAGAAATGGATTGAGTGAAGCTGGCATAATGTGCTAACGTCTCTTTTCAGCTCGGCAGCTGTATGTGTGGTGTCTGTGACTGAGAATGAAGTAAAGAACAAGACAAATTGCAGATCACACTCAAATTAGATTTTCTTAATGAGGCTTTTGAAATAAACTAACAGATTACTGTTTAAATAAAACCTGTAACAAGGATGAGTTGATAATATATTATTAAATTTCTTAATTTAATTCTTAAGCTCCAAAGCCAGCCAAGTAATATTCAACACATTTACCTTTGCAAACTGTGGAATGCATTGTGGAAAAGCTAAAAAAGCTTTTCATGGTTTGACCAATTCTCTAACTGTTCAAGCAATATCAATCACAGAGAACAATATGTGCCTGCCAGTCATATATTAGAAGTATTTGCTAGCACCCCACGCTTCCTCTTTTCATTAATTAGACAGAACTACTTAGTGCAAAATCATGATGGGTTATTTTATTTTTCTGGCTTATTATGTGTGCTACAAACTGAGAAAAAACTACTTAGCACTTCAGGGCCTGGTGTTATAACTAGCGAATTCAAAATACGTGAGGTCTGTCTATCAAGCAATAGTGTCACTGGTAAAGAAACTTTCCCTTCCTTTACCACCATGAGAAGGGGAGCATGTGAAGGGGAGAGAGCGAGTCAATGCCTTGCCTTGCCCACAGAGACCTCCCTCTCTAAGGGCAATATAGGTTTGAGGATCACAGTTACTGTGCTTGACTAGAAGATGAATTAGCAGATGTCTGATGAAAATGCAAAAAAAGTAGATCCTCCTCAAAACACAGCTTAGAAAAATCAGTGGTTTCAGCTATTGATGGCCATGAAAACAAAGCAAAATGTAAGTACTTTTAGATACCACGTTAAGACATTTAAAATGCATCTATAATAAATTATATAGTATAAATAAATAAATAACAATGTCTAATGGCCTTTACTATATTCCTTCCTACTTAATAATGTCCACAATGCCCAGATTTTGAACCTTTCAGATGAAGTAACATGTTTTGTGGGTCTAGTACAGGCTTCAGTGTCTGGAGGCTCTAGTTCTATTTCCAGCCCTGCTTCAGACCTACAGGGTGACCTTTATGCATAACCTCATTTTCCTCACCTATAAAATGGGGATATTAATACTTATTTACCTCACATTTGGTTCCCTTCCAGCTGCTACAGTGACTGAGCAAGCTCATGCATCTACAGAATTGCTAATGTTCCTTTTTTCCAAACAAGCAATGCAGACATTAAATTATGAACTTATTTGGCCGTCCAGTGAGTAAAAGTACACAGAAAAATAACAGCAATGGAAAAACTGTTCAAAGTTCCTAACTAATTTCCTTTCAGTGACACTGTCCTTCAGGTGAAATGTAAGTAGTTCCTATTTGACAGCAACTAGAATGAACTTCTTGATTCTGTTTTCAGTCAAGACAAAACTTCATGTTTTCTGAGTGAAAGTCTAACGTGGTCTCCCTTTGGACAGAATATAAAAACTCTGCAAGCTTTGCAAGTAATTAAAGGGGAAGAAGCAATTTCAGTTTGAAACTTTACCTAATAATGAGGGCAGAAAGGAAGGAAAAGGGAATCAGAGAGAGACAAGAGGTACAGCCACCTCTTCCTAAAGGGCACAGAGCTACACAAGAGAGATGCTGGCACGTATGCCAGCTGCAGCGGGGGGGACACCCCTGTGGCACCACCAAGGGCTGGTGCCTCCATCGGCCCAGGAACACCTCAGCAACACTCATCTCGCTCTGGGAATATGATACTTACTCTTGTACTGCTCTGGCTATGGAGAGCGCTGTGGATCCAGTTTCATTAACGCTATCTAAGGTCACATTTGGCAGGTCGTCATCATCACTGTCACTTTTAATTTGTCTGGGAGATAGGCCTCGGGGGTCCATTTGTGCTGGAAAGAGACATATAATGGATTAATATGAGCGTGCTGAAATTAATCTCGTCCCAGAACAACATCAGGGCGCGCAACACATCCACTTGCTCTGTCCGGATGGCACTGCTTGCGCTGAGCTTCCCAAATGAGGTGAGGGACCGGTAAAGGTGTCCAGCGGTCCCACAGCTAGGCGCAAGCAGTGCCAGCGGCATGCAGGCATGTGAACACACGCAGGCTACACCAACCCATTTGTCAGACCTGAAATAAAACCGCATACGTAATATCCGTCAAAAACTCAGTTTACCCTCAAGTTACTTACTCTGCCTGTCTTCAGAAAGTGAAGAGAACAGGCTACACAGCACACTCGAGAGTAAATTTTACAGCAAAATTTCAGGAGCAATCCTTGATTCTGAATGTTCATCACAAGATACCAAGCTGGGACCCATGTCACTCCAGTCAACTAAAATTTAGGCATCTGACAAAACTCAGTGGTCCTGATTTCTGACTCAACTCAACACCAGTGCCAATCTCTGAAGGAGCCTTCCCTCCACATTACACGTGGCAAAGCTGTTGTACATAACTTCACGCAGGCAACTCACTTTCAGGTGACTGATGTCAAGTAGGCTTAGTCAGATTTTTTTGAAAAGTCACATAGTCTCAGGTCTTACGAACATCTGAAAATCACGATTGTTTTGTCCATCCACAGCTGACAGTACCTATACTGTATGGCAATGGTGCAGGCGCGCAGGTGCTGGCAGTGAGGGGGCTGCAGGGCGGCCTCGGTGAGGAGGGGCCCGGGCTGCTCCGTACCAGACACAGCCGGTTCCAACAGCCCCACCGCAGGGCACTGCTGAGCCCCCAGCCACGGTGGGGGCACCTCTGGGAAAAACATATTTAAGAAAGGGCAAAAAAAAAGCCACACAGGCAGATCAAGGAAGAAAGCGTGTGCAGACACCAAGGTGAGAGGAGAAGGAGGGCTGGAGGTTCTCCATGGTGGAGCAGAGATTCCCCTGCAGCCCCTGGAGAGACTGCAGTGAGCAGGCTCTCCTGATACGAATTGCAGCCCGTGGTGGACCCATGTTGGAGTGGGAAATAAGCATGAGGAGGAAGGAGCGACAGAGAGAAGCTGTTACGGACTGACCACAGCCCCCATTCTCCATCCCTCTGCAGTGCTCTGGGAGGAGGAGGTAGAGGAGCTGGGAACGTAGAAGTAAAATTGAGCCCAGGAAAAGGGAGTTGGGGGGTGGTGGTTCTCACCATCCTAATCTAATTTTAATTAGCAATAAATTAAATTAATTTTCCCCATGTTGAGTGCATTTTGCCTGTGATGGTAATTGGTAAGTGATCGCCCTGTCTTTATCTTGATCCATGAGCTCTTCCACCTTATTTCCCCATGCTGTTGAGGAGGGGGAGTGTGAGAGCGGCTGGATGGGCATCTGGCAGCAGCCAAGATCAACCCACCAGAATTATGTTTTGTGCCAAAAAGAGACAGGAAAGGAGAGGAGAGCAGAAAGGTAGGCTACTTGCCTTCCCTCTTACCCTGTCTGGTGCCCTCCAAAGGGAAGAAAGCACAACTCGCCTATGGGCAGGGGGAGGAAACCAAGAGACTGGCATGGGGGAGACTATGGGGCACAAGTGTGACCTGGGATAGTCCTGAGAGGAACTGAGGGTTGCTTGTGTCAGGGGACAGACCCAGAGACAAACTTCAGAGGTGATGTAGCGAAAGAGACATTTGTCCTCACTCATGAGATACCACATAGGATTGGTAAGTGTTGACAGACACCGAAAGCAGTTGGAATAGAGAGCAAAACTGGAGAGATGCCTGTCCCTGTAAAAGGAATGGGAAAGACAGGCAAAGAGATCTGTTTAAAAATGTGTTTCTTTTTGTTTGGTCAGGTGAAATAGGGGAATCGAAGACTGTTTATTTAAAGGCCTAACTGTTGCAGTTTGCTAGCTTGTGCTCTCCTGCATTGCAGTGTCAGAGATAGGACACTTAAGTCTTGCGACATGCTTTTCAAAAAAGGTAGCTGTCATTCTTTCTTAACTCTGGCTAACCACAGCCCTGGACAACAGGTATCCCAAGCTCCCTTTAGAGACTGTGAACAGTTCA